CCTTTCTCTTTGCTTATCAGAGTTCATCCTCACCTGTTTACCATCTCTAATTTCTTTTTTGGCCAAATTCAGAAATTCCTTCTCTTGGACTTTCATTTTCTAATAATAACAGAATTCATCTTCAGTTCCCATTCGTTGTGATTCATTTCTTTTTCTCTTCTTTCTGATGGTTTGGCTTGAGTGAATCATAAATGTCTCTAGTTTGGTCATAAATTTTTTTCTCTATCTCATCTTTAATGAATTTACCACCATTTCTCTTTTTGCATGAAACTGCAGAGTCACTCTTGATTTTTCAAAATCTTAACAACTTTGATCCCAGCCTCAGTCTGTACTCTGTGATTTTTGCTATTGTTTCAAAAGCAGATTTTTCTTTCCCAGTGATAATTTGGGTTGGACTGCTGTTCAGATTACCTGACCTGAATCAACACCAGATGTCAGGGAAGCTATTTTGAAGCTTAAAACCTATCATCAAAGCTGCCTGTCACTATTCCTAGAGAAGCTGCTCACTGCTTTTCTCCCTTTTATTTCTGATTCCTGTAGATAGAATGCCTTCTCACTTGAAACTTGTTGTAGGAACTATGTTATTATTCAGGTGTATTCATCAGCCTTATGACACATAGGTTCTTCTGTGTAACTCTGAACTCATGGAATACTTCACTGCCTAGCTCTGACTCAGTTGGGAAGCAGTTGGGAAGCACTGCTGCCCTGCTCACCTCCGAGGTACACTGGGGCAGCTGTTAGTATCTCCAGTTGGGTCCTTACCTGTCACCTTCTGAGCCAGATTCTTCAGCTACTGACTTCTCTGAATGTCAATTCTTCCAAATTCTAAAAATAGCATAAACTTTTGTTTCTGTTTTGGAGCTCTTCTGAAGTCTTTCACACCTTACTTGTTTCATGCTATGGATTCTTCATCACAATTTAGAGAACGTCGTACTTTCCTGAGAAAGAGGGTATCCTGAGACATCATAGGTCGGCGCTCCAGCATTGTAGACTAGACTCGTGGATAGCGTGCTGTCACACAGAGATGCTCTGTCTGCCTCACACACGTTTTCAGTTGATTAGGTATTTGCTAAAGGTGGGTAGTTTAAATTATCTACCTGCAATTTGATTCTTAGAGATCTGTAGTTTTTAATCTTGTGAGTGGTTAGTATGCATTTAAATGAAACTGTAAGTTGACATGCAGTATAATTTACATTTTCAGTAGTTAGGTATTAAACTCTTATAGCTCGTGGATATTTGTTTCAAAGTGAATATTGTAGTTTGTAGCACGTTCTCCCATAATCCACGCAGCTTGCAGCAGCCATTGGGAATTTGGTGGTCCAGTGTGCATAGACAATTTCCAAAGTGTTGTTAAAGAAGCAGCCATGCAGAATCACTCGGCCATGTGGCCTGTCCAGTCCTGAGACAGGAAGCCTGCTTCAAGACAGGGCTGGCTCTAAGTCGTCTGATGAGCAAGGAGAGGAGACCATTTCACCTCAGAAGGATTACTCTATTTTTACTTTAGTGACTGTTTTCCCAGGAAAGTTCTTCTCAGCATTTTACTAACTAGTCACCTGTCTTTCATCCTGATTACTCTAATTTGGGGTATTTGACTTTCTAAAGGCTTTAGCAGCTTTCTTTTGTCCTAAATAAGTCATTTAACAAGCTTTTGTATGTATCGCCTACTTCAGTTCTTTTGACGCTTTGTGGAACTTGTCTTCTCAGATGTAAGATATAGTTATTATTCTTGCTCTGACTCTACTTTGAGATAATTCCTTCTCTTTAGGAACTCCAGCCTGAGTCTGGGCTATCTAGAGGGCCAGCACACTGAGATTTATGCATGGATATGAGATAGCCCATGGACTGTTTATTCCAAGCCCCAGAAGAGAGGCTTTCTTGCTGCAGGAGAAGAGGTCAGACTCCTATATCTGGGAACAAACTTTATACCCAAGGGAATTTCAGGCCAAAGTCAAATTGACAGATGAAGAAGAAACAGGCTGTACTTTATTATAAAAATTAGAATCAGGAAACAGATGCCTCACAAACCACTAGCATAGTCCACACAGGGTTCCAGCCTGAACTGGAAAAAGAGATGTAACTCTCCCAGGGGGCCTGGAGAGGATCAGAAGGATGCAGAAAACAGCTGAGGTCAGCACTGAAAGGAAGCAGTAGACCGTCAGAATGTGAATGCAATAGCCACGGTTGCTGCTCTGGAGACTCAGGAGGAACACTTTGCTGTCTCCACGATGTGCCCGTCCCTCTGTGCTCTCCGTTTCCAGCCTCCTGTGTGCTCTTCTTTTCTGGTTCCCCAGCCGCCTCGTTCACGTGTGCAGCACGTAAGTGCCCATCCTCAGGCCAGCGGTGGCCTCTGAGCTGGATGCCCGCCGCCAGGCCGCCTCCTGCTGCTGTTGCAGTGTCCCATCCTCAGGCCAGCAGTGGTCTCTGGGCTGGACACCCACCGCCAGGCCACCTCCTGGTGCTGTCGCGGTGTCCCATCCTCAGGCCAGCGGGGGCCTCTGGGCTGGACGCCCACCGACAGGCTGCCTCCTGGTGCTGTCACGGTGTCCCATCCTCAGGCCGGCGGTGGTCTCTGGGCTGGACGCCCGCCGCCAGGCCTCCTCCTGGTGCTGCCGCGGTGTCTCACCTGGGCCCAAGAGCAGTGTGATCATCCGCGTTTCAGAGATGAGGCCGTTAGGCAGCCGTCTGCTCCAGTCCCGCAGCCGGCAGCCATGCAGCAGAAAGCTGAACACAGGCTCTTCTCAGGCCTGTGATTCTCCATTTCACCTCAGTGTAATACCCTCTTATCTCCTTCCTCTGAACGCTCCTCTCGCCGTCTTTTTCCAAATTAGAGTTCCTCCAGTACTCCCTCCTTTCCTCTTGGCTTCAGAAATGGAGTCATCTGTCGCTCTCCGCCAGCCGCCCCGCTGCCTCGGGAGCGCCTGTGTGTGCCTGGCGCCTGTGCTCCGCCCCTCGTCCCGCCCCAGCGCAGCTCCTCGGAAGCACCTGCCCGCCGCGTCGCCCCCAGGCTGTGCTCGGAAGCGGGGGCACGCCCTTCGCCTTCCATGCCCTCGGGGCTTTCCTTCTGTTGGGGTCACCTTTCCCACAGATGAGCTGTGTTCCTCCTCTCCTAAAAATTCTCCTCAGACCTTTTGTGATTGGACCCATCTGATTGCTTATTTCTCTATGGTGTTAGGAAGCCCTCTAGTTCCGTTCTTTTACCCATAGCTGTCCAGTGTTCCCAGCACCACTTTCTGAAGAGGCTGTCTTCTCTTCGTTGTGTATTCTTGCCTCCTTCGTCAAATACAAGGTGCCCAGAGGCCTGTGAGTTTACCTCTGGGCCTCCTGTCTTGTTCCGTTGGTCGGTATTTCTGTCGTTGTGCCAGTGCCGTCCTGTCTTGATGACCGTAGCTTTGCAGTGTAGTCCGAAGTCAGGCAGCTGGACTCCTCCAGCTCCATTTTTCCTTGTCAAGATTTCTTTGGGAAAAAAAGATTTCTTTGGCTATTCAGCATCTTTTGTGTTTTCGTCCAAATTGTAAATTTTTTTGTTCTCAGTTCAGTGGCTCAGTCGTGTCCGACTCTTTGCGACCCCATGGACTGCAGCACACCAGGCCTCCCTGTCCATCACCAACTCCCGGAATTTACCCAAACTCATGTCCATTGAGTTGGTGATGTCATCCAACCATCTTTTTGTTCTAGTTCTGTGAAAAATACCACTGGTAGTTTGATAGGGATTGCATTGACTCTGTAGATTGCTTTGGGTAGTATAGTCATTTTCACAATACTGATTCTTCCAGTCCAAGAATGTGGTCTCTCTCTGCATCTATTTGTGTCAACGTGATTTCTTTCATCAGTGTCTTATAGTTTTTGGCATATAGGTCTTTTGTCTCTTCAGGTGCTTTATCCCTAGGTATTTTATTCTTTTCATTGCAATGGTAAATGGGATTGTTTCTTTAACTTCTCTGATGTTTCACTGTCAGTGTGTAGGAATGCAAGGGATATCTGTGTATTACTTTTATTATGTCCTGACTGATTATTTTTGGATGACATTCATTCTTCCCTTATAGGGTCATCTCTTGGTATTCATGAGGGATGGAGTCCAGGACTCCTATAGATACCAAAATCCATGGATTGTTTACCTCTCTTGTATAAAATGCAGTAATATTCACAAATATAATCTATGCCTATCTGCACATAAATCATCTCTAGATTTCTTATAATACCTAATACAGTGTAAATGCTGTGTAAATAGTTGCTGGCAGGCACATTCAAGTTTTACTTTTTGGAACTTTCTAAAATTTGTTTTTCCTTAACATCTTTGATCCATGGTTGGTTGAATCTGCAGATTTGAAAGCCATGTATCCACAGGGCTGACAGATAGATTCATTGTGTATTGCATTCCTCTGTATTTTTTCTTTGGGTTGTTGCCATCTTTCATTATAAACAGCTATTTAAGCTCCTTTCAGGTGAATGCTATGCCCTTTTTATTTCTGATTACCTCAGAGCACCTGGTAGAATTTTTGATCCAGAGATCATTTAAGCAGTACTGACTAACTCATTCCATTTAAAGTGGTGTTTTAATCAAATAAAGCTAATGGTGTGGTCATGTATAATAATTTAAATTCTGATATTTGCATCAGAATAAGAATGATTTTTTTAACAGAGTTGGTATTTACAAAATCACGTTATACCAAGTGGATTTAAACAAAGCAATCCCCCACACCAACAGGCTGTAAGTCATTTTGCTTAAAAACTTTATTCATCATGTGATGATCTTAAGCATATGAAGACATTTGAAATGTTTAGATGTTGAAGGTATCCCTTCCCTCTGTGATACAGTAATCTCCCCTTTCTCATCCTTTTTTTCTTTAACACATCAGTCCCACCTCTGACATAAGTTGCATGGCAAATACAGACTTGTCCTAAAACCAAAAGCCGCCCTTGGCACCTCTCAGAGATGAGAGTTTGAGGGTAATTTTTGGAATTGTGCTACTCAATTTTAATCCTCTGTTTTCTTTTTTCAGGTTTCCTGAAATGCAGTTTTTCCAACAAGAAAGTGTGAGAAAAATTCTTACAGATGTTCTTTTCTGTTATGCTAGAGAAAACGAGCAGTTGCTTTATAAACAGGTAATGAAAATATCGTACAGGTGGCATCCATTGACTCAGAATTTTCTATACAGCTTGACAAATGATAGAGCAATAATGTAGCCTTTATTGTATCCAAAGTTGTATCATAATAGTAAAGCAATCAAAGAGCTGCTTGTCACCTGCACGGTGAGAAAAGTAAGCTCCCTGGCGCACATATGCTGCTTCCTTATTATAAGACATTCCGCCAAATTGTCTTCTGTAAGGCATTCAATCTTTTCTTTCAACTTTTGGGAGTTTGTTTATAAACAGCATCTTTGAAGGCAATCTAGTAATAAAACTTTTCAGAGTTGTATATATAAATATTGTTTGTAAGTACAGCATTTATAAATACATGACATGCCATGTAGGAAGTGATCAAGTGTCCTTTTACTCTTTAAAATCTAATGATAATATAACTTGAGAAAGTTCCTTTAAACTTTCTGGAATTTATATGATATTTTTGGGATCTTGATGTTTAATTCATCTCGTAATTAAAGAAGTTTATTGGATTATGTGTATTCATTTTGAAATGTAAATTATTTAATATATAAAGAAGTATCCAGGCTTCTACTTAAGATAATGGGATTACAATAAAAATATACAAAGTTAGATACTTCAAAATGCATGTTCAGTGAGGATTCAAACTATTAATAAATTCTCTAACAATCCAAAGTTGTTATGTCAACTGATGACCACCCAAGTTCAGTATAACAGAAAACACCTGCATGGTGAGAGTAGTTTATTTATAATTTGAGATAAACTTGATTTATTTAAAGATAATAAACCAAGTCATATTGCAGCTGTCCTAAATAATATATTTGTTATTCTATACATGGAAATATGCAAAAGAACTAATTTTATCTTAGTTTTGATATTACTAATATATATTTTATATTAACTAAGTACATGGTGATAATGAGCTTTTAGAATGGGAAATGGAAAAAATATATCCTGTTCATAATGGCAACCAAAACTATAATATGTCTAGGAATAAATTTAATAGTATAAGAATAAAAGCTATGTAAAGAAAACTATAAATGTTATAGAAGGATGTAAAGGTAGAGTTGAATAAATAGAAAAGTGACAATATGTTTTTAGGTGGGAAGATGCTATGTAAAGATACTATTTCTTCTTAAATTAATATATAAATGTGTTATCATTCCAGTGATAGGCTAAGTGAGAGATATAGTTTTTTAAAACAGTACACAGTTATTTTAAATTTAGTGCCCAAAAGCTTTATAGTAATTTTAATGGCAAGAAAGAACATAGCTTACTGGTTGCGAGCACTGGATCTACACTCTGATTCCTTCATTTGTGTCTCAGCTCTAACACTTCTTAGACAGTCCATATTCTTGCCTCTTCTGATCTTAAAGCTTTGTTGATGAGGGCAGAACTCTTGTAGAAAAGAAAATTCTAGTCAGAATGACTTAAAATCTAAGAATGTTATTAACACACTTGCAAGAAGTCATCAGGTGCAGGCTCTTCACCAGTGATCCAGGTTCATTTCTGTTGTTCTGTTCTCTCGTCTCATTTTGTTGGCTTTTGTTGTCAAGCCTGTCTCCTCAGTCTTCTGTCTCCTCTTTGAAATATCTGGGAGTGTCTCACGATGAAAAATTTGATGATAGCCAATGAGGTTAGAATATAATTATGCCAAGTTATACATTTATTTCCCCTTTTTCTTTAGAGAAAGAAACAACTAGATTCACGGACAAGAAAAAAACACACATGATTGCGTAGTCCATCATTTGTAAGGCATAGAGCGAAGTGTGTTTGTGAGGAAGGCTAAAGAGGAGCGGGGCAGATCAGACACATTTGATGATTTAGACAAAGTCTTATCAGTCGTTGAGTAGGAAACTGTTATTAATTTACTGCTGAGCATCACCTTCTAAGACTTAAAATTACCCCCTGTACATGTTAAAGATTCTATAGATCCTATAGATGTAGAAATAATCCCTTACTCTAAGAGGATTGGATATTTAGCCAGATAAAATTTAAGAAAAAATCTTGAGTTTCATCACAAGCTGTTAAAGCTATTATTTTGTACTAGGTGACACCCCGTTTAACATCGACCATATTGTTAATAGTTATGGGATTTTATTGAATTAATGAGACTGTTATCATGTAGTAGAATGTCTTGCTGAGTTAATTGAAACTGCAGAGATTATATAAATGGTATTAATGAACTTTGACTGCCTGATGCCTCAGCTTTAATAAAGACTGCTTGGTGGGCTAAATGAACACAGGCAGATAAAAGAACAGGTTCAATTTTGTGAGCCTACAGGCTGTTGATGAGAAAAACTTTGTTACCTTTATTTTCAACTGACATGAGTTTGGAGTGCAGTGACTGCTGAGGACCCAGCAGTGAACAAGGCTGTGAGCAGAAACACTGAGGTGGGGATGGGAACAAAACACAGACTCTGGGAACCAAGACTGTACCGAGGGCGCATGTATGCACTGCTGTTTTGTTACGTCTTATCAGATTCACAGCACATTGAATTTATTATCGTTCTTTCCAGATTTCTTTTAAAGATGTCTATTTGGTTGTCAATTGTAATTAGTAATCAGATTTTACTAGTCTAGAATTGAGAGTAAGATCAACAATTTTTTCCAAGTCTGTTTTAGAAAAATGTACCTAGTTTAGTTGGATGTGAACCCTGAATGTGTAAAAGGCTGTCTTAGTGGTATTCAGGGGATTCTGTATTTTACAGTTTTCCATTGTACAGAAAGCATTTTTTTTGTTGATGGGAAATACTGAAGTATAATTCAGTACAGTTCTTTTCCATCTTTCATCATATTGTAGCTTTTACCAATGTGTTGATAAGTGAAAGATGTACTGCTCTAGTGGAAGCTGTTTCATTCACCCAGTCACTATGCAATGAGCTCCTTGTATATGCTGAGCATATGGTAGGAGCTGGGTTTTCCTCGGTATATGTGCAGATGTGTATCACTTGCCGAGTTGATAACCATGCAGCACTTCCATACTCATTGCATCATGTGTTTTGCTATCTCAATCACAGGCTCCATGATGGTTGGGAGGTGCTCACTCTGTTCATGTTAGTGTTCTCAATACATCGTAGGTAGTTAACGGACAGTGTTTGGAATAAATGAAGGTAAATGCTGTATGGGCAGATGGAGACTCTGGAGAGAGGTCACAGAAAGTAGAGGGGAGAGAACATTCAAAGAGAGTGGGATGATGCATTTAGGCAAGAGCCGTTTCTTACTAAACCATCCATGAATAGTTTCAGACAACATATTGAAGGGAAATGTCAGTCTGGAGATCACTGACCCTGCCGCCCACGACTAAATCCTGGTAATCAACCTAATAGAAACTATGCAGTTTTACAGATTTTTGGACTGGAAAATCTGGTATTCTTAGAAATAATCTATTTTATTCAAGTTAATACAATCACAGTAAAAAATAGTTTTTGTATAGCATTTTCTGTAACTAAATTACATTTTCATCTGGATGATAAAAGTTATTAGAATAGGCAAAATAGTTTTGAAGAAAAGAATAGAAAATATGGGGAAGTGGAGTATTTTACAGCTCAAATCGTGACAGTAGTAAAGTTCTTGTTAAGAATGTATAAAGTAGTAGAATACCAGTAAAAACAAACCCAGAAAAAATGAACGCCAAAATTCAGTTTGTGATAAAGATGACATTTCAGAACTCTTGGGAAAAGATGGATTATTCAGTAGATGAGGATTACTCAATAAATTAATTTAACTCTTAGGGAGAGGAAAATACATATTTATTCTTCAGGGCAAAAAAATTCCAGATGGGTAAGGAATTAACTGTAAGAAAAGAACTTGTAATTTAACTTAATCTCAATATGATGGTTTCTTTGGCATGAAAGCAAAGGAAATTATAAAAGATGATTTATTGATTTGACCATTTTTAACGTATATAGTTTCACTTTGACATGAGATAGCTTCAAAATTAAAAGGCAAGTTATAATCATGGGAAGGTATTTGTAACAAAAATGACCAAGGGTTAATTTTGTGAATTGCTGAAGAAATATTGCAAATCATTGGGGAAAAAGAAACTCTTCATTAAGAGAAAATGGGCAATTCATTAAATAAAAATGGCCACTAAAACGTTTGTGTTCAATCTCACCAGCATTTACGTAAGTTAAAACAACTATTTGTAAAATTTGATGGAATTTTTTAAAAACACTACAAATAAAGATGAGAGTATATGAGATGGTTGGGGAGTTTTATGCCTTAAAGTGAGGGGATTGTTTCTAAAGGGTAGGTTAACTGTATTTATCAAATATCTTAACTCATTTACCCGGAAAGTTTACTTCTAGGGAGTTTATCCCAAGGAAACCACCAGAAATAAGCAAAAAGATTACCTCAAGGATATCTATCACAGTTTTTCTTTCTTTTTTGGCCTTCCCCCCTTTCTTTTTTGGTGTTTTTGTTTGCTTGCTTTTGCTTTTCTGTAGTTCTCTACAATAAGCAGCTTTTACTTTCACGATTAAAAGTATGTCACTTGGTTTTTGGAATAATTTGAGATTATTCCAGAATAATAAGCCCCTGATAATGTTTTTAAGCCACTTTAGCAACTCTTCATTCTTTCTGGGTCTCTACCAAGTTCTTCTAAGGAGCAGTCTTTTCAAGATTTGTTTAGTAGGTGATGTTTACCTAACAGGATTAAAGTGATGTGTGGTAATTTGTCCTAAATCACAAGTAAATTGTCAGTGGATCCTAAATTTTTTTGTAAGAATGCCATTAAGCCCTTCTGATTGAGCGCTGGTGATGTTGTCAGTGACCTCTGACCGAGTCTCCTTCTGGGTTACTTAGTGGCCAGACCTGCTGGACTGGTGCAGAGGGCCTTGTGGCTGTCTCTCACAGGAGGCTTTCTGTAATCCCATTAGCAAAGAGAGGAGATTTTATTGTTATTTCCTGAGAAGGTGGGGTTTTGTGTTGTCTTTTTGCAAGAGATCATCGTAGATAAAAGGAAAATAGTAATTGACTCACTTTAAAAGGCAGAAAAGAGTATAATCTATTTTTAACTTGCAAAAATATGCTTTTTATGCCTAAGTAGGGGGAAAAAATCTCAATTGATCTGAAATATCTTATTTTTTCACAATAATGGATAAATAATGGATTTTTATAATAACCTTCGAAAGGCAACTTAGTAATTAATACCTTTTTGTTTCTATGTCTATTTATGTAATCCATAGATGAACAGAATATAAGGACAAAGAAAATTATATTGGTGAAATCACTAAAAAAATTGAAAAGTAACCTTATAGTTGAAATAGGAAAAAAAAATTATGGCCATCTTGACTTAAACATCTTTAAGATTTTTACTTTGAAAACTTTGTTTTTCCTCATACCTGCTAAAGATTATTTCTTTTATTATCCAACGTTTCCAGCTAGCTGACTTCAGCTCTTCCTAAATCTACAGACATCCTAATTTTGAGCCATTATATAATGAAAACATTGGATGTAATTTCCTTAGGTCTTCAGTTCTTAGTTGCCCTTCTTACTACAGATCTTTACACTGTAGCTCATGATTATAATTTGCATAAATGAAATTCATATTTATGAGTACAGATTCTGAAGCAACTGACAGGTGCAAGGTTGTCTACCATGCCAATTTATTGTTTGTTGTGTTATTTAAAAGAGAGCTCCTCTCCATGTTTTAAAGAAGAATACGTTCTGTGGTTGAATTGGAGTCAAATTCTAAAACTAAATCTCATTTTGTAGTTTTTTACGTTTTTGCTTCTTTGTATAATATGGAGATGCTGGCGGTGGGGGTCAGCTGCAGGGATTTTGGCTGAGCCTGTTCTGTCCACTGGTGAATTCTCAGCATCCGCCCCCTCCTTTCTCGGGCTCTGTTTCAGGGGATGCACGAGCTGCTGGCTCCTATCGTCTTCACCCTCCACTGCGACCACCAGGCCTTTCTCCATGCCAGTGAGTCTGCGCAGCCCAGGCAAGTTTTTATGGGAGCTCCATCTATTTTTCAACCCTGCTGTAATCTTCTTTTTAACCTCAACATGTTTTGCATTGAAGATTTTGTAAATTGTAAGCATTTGTGGTTCATGTGGCTGATTTTTAATTCCACTTAGTAATTGTAATCCTATTTCAGCTATGGGGAAACTTGGAATTCTAAATATTTTTGCAAGTCTCAGAGCTGTACTAAAGAAAGACATATATCTAATGGATCAGGAAGAGACTTTTGTCGCAGTGGCGAAGTGCTAAGTTAATACTCATGCGTTCCATTCTGCAGTGACCTGTTCTCTCACTCTAAGCTGTAAGAGAACCTCTTCTGAGACACATTTTGTCCTCCCCAGATCCAGCTCAGTGCAGTTCATAAACAGAATAGTTTCACAAAGAACCCCAGTTTAAAGAAACACAAATGAATTCCCATGTTTTTAGATACATTATTATTTCCAGCAAATAACTTCGGAAATTGTATTTAACTTAGGCTGATTGTTAGAATTTATTTTCTAATTTAAGATACCCTGACTAGGTGGGCAAGAGAAGCGGCCGGGGGGCGTCTTGGGAGAGGAGAGCCTCGGGACTCTAAGCCCTCAGGAGTGCTCGAAGGCTGGCCCCTCTCTGCGCAGGAGACAGAGTTCGAGTGTAGCCTTTCATCTGTGCATACAGTCTTTATTAATCAGAAGTAGCTGTCCATTTTGCTGAACATACATTAGGGCATTCGTCAAATCAGCTTTAGTTTACTATTTCGTAGGTTTGTCTTTTCTCGCTCCTTGGAGTTTTCTAGTTACACTGAATGTGTTGGAGAATTTCTTGGATCTGACTATAATAACCACATCTTAACTGCCATTGCCTCAGTTACTCTAAGTGTGATAAGGATGCGATTAGTTAGTCTTGAGGTTCTGTTTGCATGCCAGTTTTATCTTTGTAAAAATGTATATGCAGACTATACTTCATAGAGGAGTATACACGATTGAAAGTAGCTTTTGAAAAAACAGCTTTTAAATGGATTGGGCATGCTTCTTTAAGAGTTTCAGTCCTTAATAAAATAAGCAGCACTAGAGTAGATTTGGAGGAGGTCACTGATTGATATTAAAACATGTTTAAACTAGAAGCCATTGAAGGAAAATAAATCAATATTTTGATATGGGATATATGACCAGTAATTACATATTTTCTTGTTTCATTTGGACAACTGATAGATTATTGTGGAGCAATCAATTGATTTTAGATCAGGCACATTCAAAGAATGTATTGTCAAATTCAGCATTTGTTGTTTGGAATAATTAGATAGTTACATCACTGTGGTAGAGACAGGGAGCTAATTTGTTTTCATTTCTTTATAGAAAGAAACATTTCATATGTTAATGGAGTTGCTCTTTTTATTTAAAAAAGGCTAATGTTTTTTCATTTACACATTATATAAAAGTTGGCTTATGAGTATAGAATAAGGCAACCTCTGCATCTTTTTCAATTAAAAAATTACACATTCTGATTGCTTGTATTGCTGTTTTAAGTGAGGAAATGAAAACTCTCCTGAACCCTGAATATCTGGAACATGATGCCTAGTAAGTACAAAAACTTTTCTGTTATTTTTATTTTTTATGCCATTTTTACCTTAATGAAGATTTAACATTAGCGTTATATTATTTTTCTGATTTTTAGTGCCATGTTCTCACAGCTTATGGAAACTGCTGAACCTTGGTTTTCTACTTTTGAGCATGATGGTCAAAAGGTAATTATAATACAAATATTTTCAATGTATTTGAGGGAACAAATGATTTCAGTAAATAAAAGTGTAAAATTAAAGAACAAAAGCCATTATTACTGCTATAAAAACAAATATATAAAAACGCCTGTGAAATAAGTTTGAACTGGGGTTCTAAATCATGCCTCTAATTATTGACAGATTTACAAAGGTAATATAAAAATTTTCATGTAAATAAAATAGAAACTTTCTTTTATATGTGTGTATATTATGCATGCAATATAATTTCTTAAAAATTGCTATAAATTTTGAATGAGAAGCATATTTATCTACTTGATTTGTGCTGTCCTGGTGAGTAGACAGGCCCTGAAGTATATAGGTAAACTGTATCAAGTAGGTTGTTTTACTAATGCATCACTAAATTGAATTTTTATGTTTAGCGTCAATAATGTTTATCCTTAGTCTCTCTCACCTTTATTCTTTAACTGTAATTTTTGTGAAATGATATACCATGACATTCACCTTTTTAAAGTGTACAATTTAGAGGTTTTTAATAGATTCACAGAGTTGGTGCCTGCATCTGCACTTTCTAATTTCAAAACGTTTCAGCACCCTAGAAGGAAATCCTGCCCGCATTAGCAGTCACTCCTCATTTCCCCCTCCCGAGAACCTCTGGCATCGCTAATCTAGCCTCTGTTTCTTTGAACTTGCTCTTCTGGACCTTGCGTGTAAATGAAATCATACAGTATGTGACCTTTGTGACTGTCTGTTTTGACCTAGCGTAGTGTTTTCACTACTCAGGACATAGCGTGTATCAGTACTTCATCCCTTTTCATGGCTGAGTAATGTTTCCTTGCGTACATATATGTCACATTTTATTTTTCGATACGTCGGTTGGTAGACATTTGGGTTCTCTTCACTTTTTAACTATTAAAAATAATGTTGCTCTGAACATTTGTGTACAAACTTTTTGTGAACATATGTTTTCATTTCTCTTGGCATACCTCTGGGAGTGGAATTGCCAAATTAACTGTCATTTTAAACAAACATATATGCTAACTTAGGGATCATTCTGGCCTTTTCATTTTTATTGCACAATATTGGGAAAATTGCAAATTATTCTGACAAGGTCTGTTGTGTTAAGAGTTTTGGGTATATTATTTTCTATATGACTAATTTTTTTTATGTTTGTATAATTGAATGTGTTCTGGTTAGAAACCATCTATTACTCAGTTCTTTCACTTTATCTCTTAGCCAATGAAATGGATAACTAATGCTTTTTATGCCTTTGGTCGAGGTCAGGATGAACTAGTGCCTGCAGGCCAGTTTGGCCTGCCATCTGTTTTTGTACAGCTTGTGAGTTTAAAATGGCTTTTACATTATTAAATGGTTGAAAAAATAATCAAAAGAGAAATAATATTTTGTGACATGTGAATTACATGGAACTCGAATTTCCATGTCCATAAAGAAAGTTTTGTTGGGATACAGCCATGCCTGTTTGTTTACTTTCTGTCTTCAGCTCCTTTCTCATTACAAAGGCAGAGGTGGGTGATGGCAGCCTGGACTGTGTGGCTTGGAAAGTGTCAAACATTTACAGTTTTTGCAGAGAAAGTTTGTCAAGTCCTAGCCTAAGTGATGAAGTTTATCTCTTAGCCAATGAAATGGATAACTAATGCTTTTTATGCCTTTGGTCGAGGTCAGGATGAACTAGTGCCTGCAGGCCAGTTTGGCCTGCCATTTGTTTTTGTACAGCTTGTGAGTTAAAAATGGCTTTTACATTATTAAATGGTTGAAAAAATAATCAAAAGAGAAATAATTTTTTTTTTTTTTTGAGAAATAATATTTTGTGACATGTGAATTACATGGAACTCGAATTTCCATGTCCATAAAAAAAGTTTTGTTGGGATACAGCCATGTCTGTTTGTTTACTTTCTGTCTTCAGCTCCTTTCTCATTACAAAGGCAGAGGTGGGTGATGGCAGCCTGGACTGTGTGGCTTGGAAAGCGTCAAACATTTACAGTTTTTGCAGAGAAAGTTTGTCAAGTCCTAGCCTAAGTGATGAAGTCTTCCTCCAGCAATATATCACCATGCTCTGTTCTGTAAGGATTATTAGAGGGGAAGCGTGCTGTAATACAGCACATGTGATGAACAGTATATTTTCAGCAGGTGATTTGGTGAAGACATAGACTTATGTGAATGTCAGATTTTGAGCAGAGTATTTGAATACAATTAATTATAGGCCTCATGATCATTTTACACAGTGGTCATTTTGTGTTTTATAACTGATTCAGAGTATCTGAGACACTGAATGATAAACTGTGAGGGCTGCCAGTTCTTACTTTTGACTTATCCACGTTGCTTTCACTGAATCATATGAAAATGGCTAAGACTACACAAAGACACACTCAGAGAACACATAGATGTGACCTCTGAGAATTTGTATCAGTTACTTGTGTGTATCAGTGCATCATGTGTTCCTGAAAAGCATATCTAGTGAATCCCTTTTTCACCCTACCCTTTGTCTTCTATTTCATGATTCTGTCATCTTTTAAAGAAGAAAGTTGAGAAATTAATATATCCCTCTTTTAGGTCTTCTGATTCTATGGAAAATTCAGTTATATCACTTTGCATGCTGCATCGTTCAGTGACGTACCTTTTATAAGCCTTTCGTGATGAAGGAAGCAATGTGTTGGTTTACATAGTGGTATGAAATCATTATCTCACCGTAATTACTCACTTTGTGGCCTGGCATGATCTGTAAAACACACTTTGCATGCCACTAATAAGTGGTTAGAAAAGTTCTGTAGTTTTATTGGTAGTTGTGTTTGTCTCATCAAATGAAATGAGACAATTGCAGCTTTATGTTAAATGTAGGTAGCATTCTTTATCGTAAGAAATCCTGAAGATAAGTGTTTTACATTAACTCTCTTGTTTTAATTTTCCTATTAGATGTGCTATGCTGTTTAGCATTTAAATAACCAGAGAGATTGCTTTCAAGTTTTTTAAATTTAAAAGATTTTATTATATTAGGTTGGTGCAACTGTAATTGCGGTTTCTAACTGGGAATTTTAAATCATTATAATTAGGGTCAAACACAACTTTATTCATCAAAATAGGAACCATTACAATCAACACATCTTTGCCAACAAGAAATGTTTGTTTATTTCTGTAGCATAAAAATGCACACCTTGGGATTCAACAAATTCTTGGAAAGCATTTTCTGCCTTCTGCTGGTTGTGGAAGCATTTTCCTTGCAAAGAATTGTTGAGATGGTTGCTGAAGTGGTAGTCCATTGGTGAGAGGTCAGGTGAATATGGCGGGTGAGGCAGAATTTCATAGTCCAATTCGTTCCACTTTTGAAGCTCTGTTGTGGCATGTGGTTGAGCATGGTCATGGAGAAGAATTGGGCCCTTTCTGTTGACCAATACTGGCTGCAGGCGTTGCAATTTTTGGTGCATTTCATTGATTTGCTGAGCATACTTCTCAGATATAATGGCTGCGCCAGAATTCAGAGAGCTGTAGTGGATCAGACTGGCAGCAGACCACCAAACAGTGACCATGGCCTTTTTTTGGTGCAAGTTTGGCTTTGGAAAGTGTTTGGAGCTTCTTCTCAGCCCATCCACTGAGCTGGTCATTGCTGGTTGTCATATAAAGCACACTTTTTCTCTCAGAAATGGTTCATTGTTTCATAGAAAAAGAGAAGACGACCCCTCAAACTGATGGGTTTTTTGGTTTGTGGACCACTGATGAGGCATCTGGACTTCCCAGGTGCCAGTAGGGGTGAAGAACCCGCCTGCCAGTGCTGGAGACGCAAGAGAGACAGGCTGGTCATTGTCAACTTCCGATGGCCTGCCAGCATGCCCTCAGCATCAAGGCTCTCGTCTCCTTTGCAAAACTTCTAAACCACCACTGCGCTGTATGTTCGTTCACAGTTCCTGGGCCAAAGGCACTGTTGATGTTGCGAGTTGTCTTCACTGCTTTACGACTCAATTTGAACTTGAATAAGGAAATCGATTAGATTTGTTTTTTGTCTTCACATCATTTCCATGTGTGTGTGCTCAGTTGTGTCTGACTCCCTGTGGCCCATGTGCTCAGTTGTGTCTGACTCCCTGTGGCCCTATGGACTGTAGTTTGCCAGGCTCCTCTGTTCGTGGAAGTTTCTAGACAAGAATTCTGGAGCAGGTTGCCATTATCTCCAAGGGATGGGTCTTCCTGACCCAGGGATTGAACCCGGGTATCTTGTGTTTCTTGCACTGACAGATGGATTCTTTACCACTAGCACCACCTGTGAAGTCCTTACTCCTATCATTTCCTTAGTCTAAAATAAAATAAATGTAAATACCCAGCAAATAATAAGTCATTAGCATAAAAACATAAAGTGAGAAAGATATATTAAAATAATGTATACCATACCATATTTATTTAAATACATATCAAATGGCAAAGTTCAGTAATGCAAAATTGCAAATACTTTTGCACCAACCTAATGAAGTATTCTGTTAGGGGACATCTTTTTAAGTTACAGCATCCTGTTATTTGAAGAGAGTATATTGGATGTTACAAAATCAGGAAAAAGAGTTTTGGATATACTATTTTTATAATAAATGATGGCAATATGGAGGTTTCCCTTTCTCTTTTATATACAAATTAGCAATGAGTTGAGCTCTAAATATTAATGTAGTCTTCTGACCTTTGGACCTAAATACACTAAGGCAGGCACTGTAGAAAGTCTAAAGGGCTGTGTTTCATTTTAAGACTTGAAATGATCCTGGGCAGCCAGATGGAGCCCCTTCCCGTAAGCTTCCTCTGTCCTGACACAAGCCCCTCCCCTCCTCTCTCCTGTGTTTTCTGCTGCCCTGCCTAGTCAGGACTCGAGGGAGAATTCCAGGCTCTTTTTTTGTGTAGTTCTTTCTCCCAAATGGTGCAGGCAAGAGCTTCACCCTCTTTATGTCGCTGAATCTGGTCCAGTGACAGAAAGCTGATCCTTCTTTTAGAGATCTCACAGTTTGGGAGGCAGATAAGTAAGAAAGCAGGGAAGAGCAGACTGAACTGGGACTGGACATGGAGCCAAAGCTGACAGCACAGGTTGGGGCCGCCGGGGATACACTGGGGGAGCTTCACGGGGAGAGTGGCAGCACAGGCTTCCTGCACGCACAGTGAGAGCAGGCTGACCGCGTGAGGGGCAGACTGCCACCCTGGCCAAAGAGTCTGCATTGTTCGTTTTCCCTGGAGTGAAAATAACGAGGAGCTCTTAAAAATGTCTAAGGAGGGACTCTGCCATCTTGTGACTTGTATGAAAAGGCAAAAAGATAACGACACTGAAAGATGAATTCGCCAGGTCGGTGGGTACCCAATATGCTACTGGAGAAGAGTGGGGAAATAAGTCCAGAAAGAATGAAGGGGCTGAGCCAGAGTGAAAACAGCACCCAGTTGTGGATGTGTCTGGTGATGGACGTAAAGTCTGATGCTGTAAACAGCAATATTGCATAGGAACCTGGAATGTTAGGTCCATGAATCAAGGCAAATTGGAAGTGGTCAAACAGGAGATGGCAAGAGTGAACATTGACATTTTAGGAATCAGTGAACCAAAATGGACCAGAATGGGTGAATTTAACTCAGATGACCATTACATCTACTACTGTGGGCAGGAATCCCTTAGAAGAAATAGATTAGCCTTCCTAGTCAACAAAAGAGTCTGAAATGTGATACTTGGATGCAGTCTCAAAAACAACAGAATGATCTCTGTTTATTTCCAAGGCAAGCCATTCAACATCACAGTAATGCGAGTCTGTGCCCCAGCTACTAATACCAAAGAAGCTGAAATTGAATGGTTCTATGAAGACCTACAAGACCCTAGAACTAACACCCCAAAAAAGATGTCCTTCTCATCAGGGGAGACTAGAATGCAAAAGTAGGAAGTCAAGATATACCTGGAGTAACAGGCAAGTTTGGCCTGGGATACAAAACGAAGCAGGGCAAAAAAACTAACAGTTTTACCAAGAGAATGCACTGGTCATGGTAAACACCCTCTTCCAAAAACACAAGAGATAACTCTACACATGGACATCACCAGGTGGTCAATACAAAAATCAGATTGATTATATTCTTTGCAGTTTAATATGGAGAAGCTCTATACACTCAGTAAAGTCAAGACTGGGAGCTGACTGTGGCTCAGATCATGAACTCCCTATTGCAAAACTCAGAGTTAAATTGAAGAAAGTAGGGAAAACCACTAGACCATTCATGTAAGACCTAAATAAAATCCCTTAACAATTATGCAGTAGAAGTGACAAACAAATTCAAGGGATCAGATCTGATAGAATGCCTGAAGAACTATGGATGAAGGTTTTTAACATTGTACAGGAGGCAGTGATCAAACCCATCCCCAAGAATAAGAAACACAAATAGGCAAATTGGTTGTCTTGAGGAGGCCGTACAAATAGCTGAGAAAAGAAGAGAAGCTAAAGGCAAAGGAGAAAAGGAAACATATACCCATCTGAATGCAGAGTTCCAAAGAATAGCAAGGCTAATTAAGAAAGTCTTCCTCAGTGATCAATGCCAAGTAATAGAGGAAAACAATAGAATCAGAAAGACTAGAGGTCTCTTCAAGAAAATTAGAGATGCCTAGGAAACATTTCATGCAAAGATGGGCACAATAAAGGACAGAAACGGCATAGACCTAACAGAAGCAGAAGATAAGAAGAGGTGGCAAGAATACACAGAAGAATTATTCAAAAAAGATCTTCATGACCCAGATGACCATGATGCTGTGCTCACTCACCTAGAGTCAGACATCCTGGAGTGACAAATCGAGTGGGCCTTAGAAAGCATCACTATACAAACAAAGCTAGTGGAGGTGATGGAATTCCAGTTGAGCTATTTCAAATTCTAAAAATGATGCTGTGAAAGTACTGCACTCAATATGCCAGCAATTTGGGAAAATTCAGAAAGCCACGAGCCTGAAAAAGGTCAGTTTTCATTCCAATCCCAAAGAAGGACAATGCCAAAGAATGTTCAAACTACCACACAGTTGTAGTCACCTACATGCTAACAAAGTAATGCTCAAACTTCTTCAAGCTTGGCTTCAACAGTATGTGAACTGAGAACTTCCAGAACTTCCAACTTTTCAAGCTGGATTTAGAAAAGGCAGAGGAACCAGAGATCAAATTGCCAACATCGCTGAATCATAGACAAAGCAAGAGAATTCCAGTGAAATATCTACTTCTGCTTCATTGACTTTGCTACAGCCTTTGACTATGTGATCACGTCAAACTGTGGAAAATTCCTAAAAAGATGAGAATACAAGACCTCCTTACCTGCCTCCTGAGAAATCTGTATGCAAAGCAAGAAGCAATAGGTAGAACAGGACATGGAACAAGGGACTGGTTCCAAATCGGGAAAGGAGTACATCAAGGCTGTATATTGTCACCCTACGTATTTAACTTCTCTGCAGAGTGCATCATGCGAAATGCCAGACTGGACGAAGCACAAGCTGGAATCAAGATTGCAGTCAGCTATGCAGATGACACCACCCTTATGACAGAAAGTGAAGAGGAGCTAAGGGGTCTCTTGATGAAAGTAAAAGAGGAGAGTGAAAAAGTTGGCTTAAAATTCAGCATTCAAAAAGCTAAAATTGTGGCATCTGGTCCCATTGCTTCATGACAAATAGATGGGGAAGCAGTGGAAACAGTGAGAGAGTTTATTTTTTGGGGCTCCAAGATCACTGCAGATGGTGACTACAGCCATGAAATTAAAAGATGCTTACTCCTTGGAAGCCAAGCTATGACAAACCTAGACAGCATATTAAATAGCAGAGACATTACTCCATCTAGTCAAAGCTATGTTTTTTCCAGTAGTCATGTATGGACGTGAGAGTTGGACCATAAAGAAAGCTGATTGCTGAAAAATTGATGCTTTTGAACTGTGGTGTTGAAGAAGACTCTTGAGACTCCTTTGGACAGCAGGGAGGTCAAATCAGTCATATCTACAGGAAATCAGTCCTGAATATTCATTGGAAGGACTGATGCTGAAGCTGAAACTCTAATACTTCGGCCACCTGATACGAAGAGCTCACTCACTGGAAAAGTACCTGATGCTGGGAAAGATTGAGGGCATGCAAAGGCAACAACAGAGAAAGAGATGATTGGATGGCCCTACCAGCTCAATGCCATGAGTTTGAGCAAATTCTGGGAGTTAGTGATGGTAGGGTGACCTGATGTTCTGCAGTCCATGGGGTCGCAAAGAGTCAGACATGGCTGAATGACTGAACTGAAGTGAACTGATCATCAAACTTGAGGGGGCAGCTAAAGTTTTCATGAAAGCACTGCACGGAGTTAGAGATCTGTCTTTCCTGGTACAGGGTATGGGGTGGCAGGAAGGGAAGTCATCCTGCCCGTGTAGATTTTTTGTTTAAGTTGGCTACACTTTTGGTTTGGAGAATTTAAAAATCTTCCTACCTAGCTGTTTTTTTGTGTGTTGTTTTGAGATTTAAGTTTTATTTTTTTAATTCATTTTTAACTGAAGGGTAACTACCCTGCATTGTTGTGCCAGTCTCTGCCCTGTCCACCGTGACTCCCCTCCCCTCACCCGTCTCCCCTTCCCATCCTCTAGGTTGTCACAGATTACTGTCTGCCCAGCTGTTTAAATTGATCAAGGACATTCAGAGAAAGCCTTCTTTTCTAGTATTAGTGTACTTTATTTCTTGACTTTTTAAAAATTGTTTTAATAACTCAAAAGTAAGACAGTTTTCAATTACTCTTTTTTTTTTTCCGCATTTAATTCTTATGCCACAAGGAGCATGTTTTCCTCAGAGTGTTTACTTAGGTAGTGTGGGTGCTGAGACACGCTGGCCACAGACAGAGAGACTAGATCGACTACTGTAGCCAGAATTGTCTTAAAAGACTGAATGTCACCAAAGAAACTGTTCAAGGGAACCCAATTAGAACATATTTTAGATTTTTCCTGGCCTTTACTTTATGAACACCGTCATTTGTGTGGCAATCAGTTTATTACTCCACATTTTAAGCGTTTGTCCTGAGTTGACTAAAGTAGTAGTTGGTTCTACTTTAAACTTCCATTGATAAATACTTTCAAGAATCATGGCCTTGTATTTGTTAATTTCACCCTGAAATAATACCTGTTCCATTTTTCCCGTGTTTAGGGGAAAGAAGCCCTGATGCCTCCTATCCCCTTTGCTAGACCACAGGATTTGGGGCCAACAATTGCTATTGTTGCTAAAGTCAACCAGATCCAGGATCAGCTACTGAAGAAGCATGATATTGAGCTTTACATGCACCTGAACAGACTAGAAATTGCACCACAGATATATGGGTTGTAAGTATTCAATTTAAATTGCAGCAGCCCCAAAGTTTGGTTTATGGTGGTTTCTGTATGTTTTGGATTCGTAGAAGCAAGAGTGCGAGCTGTCCCGGCTGTGTTTCCTTTCATCGCTCCTTTGTGTTCTGTGAGCCAGACTGCTCACTGCTTTCATAGGTCATCTTTCATCTAATATCTCCCCTTTGTTACAAAGGAAGAAGCTGAGATGTGCGGTGAAAGTGTAAGTCACTCAGTCATGTCCGACACTTTGCAACCCCATGGACTATAGCCCACCAGACTCCTCTGTCCATGGAATTCTTGAGGCAAGAATACTGAAGTGGGTTGCCGTTCCCTCATCCCAGGGATGGAACCTGGGCCTCCCGCATTGCAGGCAGATTCTTTACCATCTGAACCACCATGAAGCCTGAGGTTTGCAGTAACCTTACACACACTGAACAGTGAATCCTAATTCAGTCCAGGTGAAACTGGATCCGTAACCTGCAAAACCCAGTGCAAAATAAAAATAAATGGCTCTTTAAAAAAAATGAGTGGGGACTTCAAGATGGCAACAGCAGATCATTAAACCAAGCCTTCTGAGAAGTGCAGAGTCACACAGATTATATACATGTGAAGCAGCCCAGTACCCAGGCAATCCTGTAATATATTCGTGTTCTTTCCGCTTTATAGTGTGCTTATCTGCTCTACCCTTTGGAGTGCATTTCTAAAAGTAAGATAAATGTCTCTCACAGTAAAAATAATATATTAATCTTCTTTAGCCAGGTTTTACATCTTTTACAGTAACATTCTGTAGCAGGAGAATATGGAGCCAGTCATCAGTCACCCTTAGATGTATATGAGTGTGTGTGTGTATGTGTGTGTGTATGCATTTAGTAACTTATAATGTGAGTATGCAAATTAGCAACTTTAATAAATATGAATTAGTTGTGTAGTGCTAGAGACAACAAAAGGATCCTTTAAATTGAAATGATATGGCATTCATATCTAGTGTTGGGCATTCCCTTGGTAGATGTTTTTTGCAAATCACATCTTTCAACTATATAGAATATGGAAAATTGAGAAGGTTTTATGAGATATACATAATAGGTTCTCAATGAATATGAGTTCATTATTTCAATTAGGAAGAACCTCAAGTCATAGGTTTTGAACCAGAGCAGAAGCCATTTATTTAGACCAAAGGAAAGCATGTCAGTGAGCGTTTTCTTTATTTCCTCATGTTACAGTCTGTCACCAAAAACTACTACTTAGGTGTTCTCCTCTTGAAGCCCTGAACTCTAATTGACAACCTCTGCTCTCCTGTTTTCATGATTCCTGTTTGCAGTTTTGTGACTTAAGCTTGACTTCATCGTGGAGAGTTGCTCCATCATTCCCAGTGGAAGGGAGAAAGTTGTGGGAAACATGGGTCTTGGGCAGCACTGTAGGTTATCATCAGACTGGCATTTATCACACTTTTCAGTCTGGCTAATATATGTGTGATTATAGAATAAAAATCTGTTGTAAAATACCAAGTGGCCAGATCAGGAGGCAAATTCTATATTCTTTTCAACTATGTACCCCTTCCAGTGTTCTTGCCTGGGAAATCCCACGGACAGAGGAGCCTGGAGGGCTATAGTCCCTGGGCTCACAAAAGAGTCAGACACAAATTAGCAGCTAAACTACAACAATGCTCTCAAAGAACTGGTTTATTGAAATGCAGAAGATCATTTTATAGCCTCAAAAATTGTTTTCTGGTCTAGAAATTTGTCTTAAATGTTGGAGAAAGAAACTAATGCTGGACACTTTTATCACTTCTTTGAAATGCTCTCTATTTGCTACCTCTTTGGCCGAGCTGGTGCTTTAGATTGTGGTGGTCGTGGCATGGACTTGGGTACGGTGATTTTCAGCCAGTGTGTTCTGGTTTCCTTATCAGACATTAGTTCCCATCTACTTTCTGTTCATAATGATTCATAGAACTTCTTTCACATCCAACCAGCACTTTCCCAATTAAATTCTGTGATCCCTGACATAATTACTCTTAATCTTTTTAACTTCACTCTTTAGCTGTACTAACAAATCCAGGGCTTGCAGTAACCATAGCTGACAAAGTTATCCCTTTATTTTTGTATAGATGTATTATTTAAAAATAAACAGTTTTTCATCCTTAGAGAAATCACTCATTCTCTTAATTATTCTGTATTACGTTTTGTAGTGCAAGGATTTTACTTACTTATATCACTTATAAAATTTGATTTCCTAATTTCTTTTGGTGAGGCAATGTGGTTGAGTTTCCCTATGTCTTTATGCTACCCTAAGCTGTACCACTCATCTATATATTTCCTACTGATGACTGTTAGAATGGGCACAAAGGATACTATGTGTAATATAATATGTGTAATATAAAATGGCAGTTAGAAGCATAGGCTTTGAAATGATACAGACTTATTTAACCACTCTGAGCCTTGGTTTCTTCATCTGTGAAATAGAGATGAAAAATAGTGGTACATACTTCATGGAGTGCCTGTGAAAATTAAATCATAATATATAAAAATCATAGTGTTCAGTAGGAGATAAACATTGAGTATATGGTTAGCACTGCTTTTGTTGCCATTATCTGTCATTATCGTCGCAGAGTTAAAGATACCATGGCCCTGTCAGCATGATGTACCCTGTGATTCGTGAGCCCTTCTAGCTCTGACTTTGGCTTTCTGTGTTTTCTTCAGTAAAGCATACAAGCTTCTACTTAAGTGGAAACAGAATAGCTATCCTTTGGGTGCTTCTCAAGAAACAGCACAAAAGTGGAGTGGACTTTTAGAAACATCATAGCAGTTTGACAGAATAATTTTATCTCCTTGAACCTAATAAATAGTGTAGGTTTTATCTCATGGAAATAAATTAAAATTGTTAGTTTTGTTTTAGATCATACAAGTAACATCAATCTAAATAGCTGCTGATGCTCTCATCTGTGGCTGTGGGGAGAAAGGTTGGTGGAGAAAAGTCATTTAGCAAAATGAAATTACATCCCATGTTGAGTCCAGGTTTCTAATTTTAGCCAATCTGAGCAGTTGCATGATACATTAAAATCTAATTAAATCTTCTTTCTGATATGGCTGTCGTTATCTTTAAGAGGAAGATTGGGGACTTCCCTGGTGGCCCAGTGGCTAAGACTCCACGCTCCCAACTCAGGGGCCTGGGTTCAGTCCCTGGTCAGGGCACTAGATCCCACATGGCTGCAACTAAGAGACCAGGCACAGCCAAATAAATAAATTTTTTTTTTTTGAATGAAAAAGGTTTTATAATTGCCCCATTCTGGTATTTGTGTGAGAATATATGTGGAAGTCTCCTGATGTGGCAAATATGCCGTCTATAAATGCATTTGTTGCTTTTTGTTAATAAATGTATATAACAAAATTAGAGTTAATAATTAGTGTATCCACATGAAATGTGGAACTTTTTGTTCTAGTTCTGTGAAAAATGGCATTGGTAATTTGATAGGGATCACACTGAATCTGTAGATCACATTTGGGAGTATAGTCATTTTCATAATATCGTTTCTTCCAACCCAGGAACACAGAGTACCTCTTCATCTGTTTATGTCGCCTTTGATTTCTTTCATCAGTGTCTTATAGTTTTCTGCATACAGCTCCTTTGTCTTCTTAGGCAGGTTTATTACTAGATGCTTTATTCTTTTTGTTGCAATAGTGAGTAGGATTGATTCCTTAATTTCTCTTTCTGAGTTTTCATTGTTAGTATATAGGAATGCAAGTGATTTCTGTTTATTGATTTTGTATTCTGAGACTTTGTTAAATTCACTGATTAGGTCTAGGAATTTTGTGACAATATAAGTGGTGCTGGGAAAACTGGACCAGCTACATGTGAAAGAATGAAATTAGAACACCACCTAACACCATATACAGAGATAAACTCAAAATGGATTAAAAACCTAAATGTAAGATGAGAAACTATAAAACTCTTAGAGGAAAACATAGGCAGAACCCTTCATGACATAAATCATAGCCAGATCCTCTATGACCCACCTCCTAGACTAATGGAAATAAAAACAAAAATAAAGAAATAGGACCTAATTAAACTTAAAAGATTTTACACAACAAAGGAAACTGTAAACAAGGTGAAAATACAACCCTCGGAATGGAAGAAAATAATAGCAAATGAAACAACTGACAAGGGATTAACTTCCAAAATATACAAGCAGCTCATACAATTTGATACCAGAAAAACAATCAACTGAATCAGAAAGTCGGAAAAAGGCATAAACAGACATTTCTCCAAAGAAGGCATACAGATGGCTAATAAATACATGAAAAGATGCTCAACATCACTCATTATTAGAGAAATGCAAATAGAAACTACAGTGATGTATCTCTTCACACTAGTCAGAATGGCCATAGTCAAAAAGTCTACAATAAATGCTGGGGAGGGTGTGGAGAAAAGGGAAGGGAACCCTCTTGCACTGTTGGTGGGAATGTAAATTGATGCAGTCACTATGGAAGACGGTATGGAGATTCCTTAAAAATCTAGGAATAAAACCACCATATGACCTGAGGAAATCAAACTTGAAAACAACACATGTAACCCAGTGTCCACAGCAACACTATTTACAGTAGCTAGGACATGGAAGCAACTAGATGTCTATCAACAGATGAATGGGTAAAGAAGCTGTGGTATACATATATAGATGAAATATTACTCAGGAGCACATTAAAAGGAACACATTTGAGTCAATTCTAATAAGGTAGGTGAACCTAGAGCCTGTTATACAGAGTGAAGTAAGTCAGAAAGAGAAGAACAAATACTGTATACTAAAGCATGTATATGGAGTCTAGATAGAGGGTACTGATGAAATTATTTTCAGGGCAGCAATAGAGACAGACATCATCCAGAACAGACTTAACGGACACGGCAGGGGAGGGAAGGAAGGAGAGACTGGGATGTATGGAGATTGTAACATGGAAACTTACATCACCATGTGTAAAATAGACAGCCAGTGGGAATCTGTCTGACTC